GCAATAAAGATTTAGATTTTGAGATTTTTAAAATAAGCCAGTAATAAGCAAATTTATGAGCTCAAAAATTCGAAATCATCTATGAATGGATTACAATTTACTGATAATAAATTGAAAAAAAAATTATTACAGAATCTGTTTAATAGATAGTAAACTAAAAGCTAGACAGATCAAGTATAACTCAATCGCTTCAGTTATCTGAAATACCTTATTTTAACAGTACTAATCATCAGAAATACAAAAATATTGAAATAATTCTTCTATCGATGAATAAAATTATGATTTCTATGCTTCTTAATGACTGATTATTATCGTTTGCCTAAGCTTTTTAACTCATTTAATTTGTTTGTTTCTTTTAGTGCATAAATTGAATGGTTTCACTTCTTGTTAAAAAAAAAATGTTTAGATTGGTATACAATTCAGATTTTCATTTTTGCTTCAGATTTGCATTTTACATCATATTCTCATTTTTTTTCTCATTCATTCTTTGTTTTAAGTTTGATCGTCTTTGCTGAGAATATTAAATTAGATGTGATAATTGGTTAATTCATCCTTCGTTTCTCACAACACATATTATTTCCAATATTTGTTGTGAAATCAGGAACACAGGGAAGGACTCTTTGCTGCAGATTGATTTCTTCATAACTCCAAATAAGTCGATAATGTTAATCAATTTTCAAGAAACAAAACAAACAATTTATTTACCTTATACTTTTCTACGATATTTCGGCAAGAATTACTACCAGCGCATTTTTCAACAGAAATCAACCTACATTTGCCATCGATCAATTGAATTATTTATCCCACAAATACTTTACAGGTTCTCTTATTTCGAGTCATTATTCGAACTATTGATGATTTAATTCCTTTTCCCTTATCATCTGGTTTATCATGGCTTTCCAAAAAGTTAAGTTATTTTTCAGAAGTGATGAATTTACTTTGTAACTTATCGAATGTTACAGTTCGAATGATATTAATATTAGAAGTCGTATTTGTTTAAGTCCTTTGTTTTTCCTTATCTTTTATAGGCATTGGTAACATTGGAAAAAACATAAATAATGATCAATATGTCTTAGTTTAAATGAAAAAAATATCTTAGTTCAAATATTTCATGCTAAAAATAATAGCAAAACATTGAAATAAAAAAAAAAAACAAATTCCAACAAAATCTTCAAAACTTTTAGACAAATATCTGTGAAAGTAAAAATTTTCATTTGCCATTTAATAATAAAGATGACAATTTCTTAATTAATAGATTTCGTTGAAGCAGAAAAAAAAAACTAGTGAAGATTACTGAGATTTAATAGATTATTAGAACTGATCTGTCAAAATTTCGCATTATAAAAAGGCAATCGAAAATAGATTAAGAAATAAAAATTGGTTCCTAACAAAAAAAATACAAGCGATCTAATCTTCTTTTTTTCATGAATAATGTTTATATATAATTCATAAAAATCAAATCTACATTTATACCATAAATACTGCGTATTAATTAAATTATACTTCCGAGCGTTTTCTAAACTTATAATGAAAAACCGAAGTTGAATTTCAACACTAATCTTTCATTCCTTTTTTGTTCTCATAGAATAATAACTTTTTTCCCTACATTACAACTGTTAACAAAAGCGACCAATGTTTTGACGAAAATTTAAACTGAAAATTATCATATAGTAAAACAGTCCTGAATTGTGTGCTTAGTGACAGAAATTTGAAGAATATGAATTCATTTTATTTCAAATCAAGAAGCGTTTCACAACATTATATCGCATTAAGTGCATAATGATGAATTCAAAAAATTCATGTTAAATATTTTGATCTTTCTCAGTTCTCAACAACAGCTGACCTTGAATTTATTCATTTTACAATCATCATTTCCTGTTTGCATAAATTATTTTTATTTGTAATCAGACCTCTTTCTCACATCTCTGATTTGATGAATTCCTCTTCCGTTTCCTAAATTTCGAGATTAGATACGCTTGTATAAACTAGCACGACTGATTATTAGCATACACATAGAGCTTTCATTTATATATATGAAAGGTGAATATTGCAGTAGTGAGTCGAACTTTATTGCTTGTTGAAATATGAAAAGGAAGCATGCATTTATTTCTAGGATCAATTCCAGTGAAAATAATTGTATTTAAATTATTTTCACTAGAAAAAAAATAATAATTTTGAGATTGATAATTTCTAATTATAATTGTTTTGGTTCTTTAATGTTAGATATTATTTATCGCCAACATGCAGATCTTTAAATATTATTTTTTGATGCCTTAAGCATTTTCTTCTCTTTCACTAAACTCAGAAATATCGAAGTAGAATAACCGTTAGAGTGGCAAAGATTTTGAACATGCTAATAAGCTAAAATTATATAATTATATGACTAGCGGTGGACCCATTTTCGTTTATTCGGCTCATCAACTTCACATTTATGTTGATTGACATTTCATCATGAAATCACACTTCAACCTCAAACAGTTTCTTTTATTCCTATATTTTGACAATGTCACTTTGAATTTTCTCATCTGTTAGTTACTTTGCTACTCCTAAATGTACTCATTTCAATTATTACTAATGAGGGACAAAAGTATAGATAGATGACTAACAGGTAAATAGAGGTATATGTGATATAGGTTCACCATAAGTTTTCTCTTAACGTTTTAGCGAATCTTAGTCAGTTGAGAAAGAATTGATGGCAGTAATAGTTCTTCGAAGATTTTAACATGAACTGAGAATGTATCCCACCTTTTTCACATTAATGATACTTAATGTTTCCTGAATGACTGTTCTACTCTTCCGACAGTTAAACTTTTTGAGATGATTTCTGTCTCGTTTTTTGAATTTTTATTTAGATTTAGACATCACGAAACCATTCATTATTATTTACTTCTACTTTTTCGATTTATTACTTATGTTATGAAGTTCATAGTTTTTATCTCCTGAATAATTACAAAATTATCAATAACGCAATCATATTTTTGTAATCAGTGGAAAGTAAAAGTTAGTTAAAAGTGATATTTCAGGCATGACAATCTACATATTATTATTAGTTTTTTTGACATTATCCGCCACTGGAGCAATTCAGTGCTATTCAGGAAGTCAGCTGCAGATTACTGAATGTCCGAGTATAAATTGTATCAAGCATTCACTTGGTTTTGATACGGTATTAATTTAACTCGTTTAATTTCTTAGAGTTTTTAGGTGTTTCATTACTCAAGTCAATGGTTTTCATAAATTAACACTATTATTACATATACTTGCCAAAATACTTTCTCATTGCATCTGAATTTCATTATTTGTTGAATTATTTTGTTTCATTATGTAAGCAACAACAAATGATTCGACAATCACGATAAAAGAAAGCTTTTGTGGCTCAATTTGTAAAAAAAAAAAAGAAGGAAACGCTTTTTTAATTCACATATTTATAAAATGTTGAAAAGTAGAATGTAAAGATTTCTTCAGGCAAGGTACTGTGATGGTACTGGTGGATCATCTATCTGTCAAACGTATCGCTTATTTGAAACGTGTGAAACAATTCCTAATCTTGGTTACATATGTTGCTGCTCTAGTAACCTCTGTAATTCTGCTCACTCTATTTTCATGTCCAAAATTACTCTGCCGGTATTTGCCCTTTTATTATCTAAAATAATATTGTGATATGACTTATTTCAGTGTTTTAGCATAATAGGTAATCTTTGCTAAATATTTGTTTTATTGAAAATCATAGAAAAGTTAAGTAAGCTTACATATTACTACCACTCCAAAGCTTGACTATTTTATTTGATATAATCAATGGAAATAAAAATTTTAATTTTATTTTAGAAAAATAAACCTTCTATTCCTTGAATAATAAAATAATTCATAAATAAATGTTCGTCAATTTAGGAAATAATTTTTGTATGCATTCTTGTTTCTCTTTGATGATCAATAAAAACTAGTCATCGTATGTGAGAAATTGTTCGGCCGGACTGAAATGCATTGTATTTAATTGGTAGAAATTTAGATTAAATTTACTTCTCTTTAGTTGATGCAAATCTAATATGAATTGAAAATGATTTTAAAAATATCAGAAGATTAATTACTGACCTTGCCTGCATATATAATTTACAATGATGAAAGCAAATGTTTGAATAAAAATTTAGGTTATAAAAGTTTACATTTTTAGCTACTTTCCAGCTTTTCTCACTAAAATTTTTACGTTTTGTAAATTCTACACACAATCCATTTGTGCTTCGCCCGGATTAAAAACTTTAATTTTTGCATTTAATGAAAACTTTTGTATTTTTTGTCTCGTAATTCTTTCGCTTTTGTGTTTGAAATTTGTTACAAAATGGCTGCCTACGATTAAAATGTTTAATTTCTAATGGACCCGAAATAATACAGTGCAGAGGAATGAAAATGGTAATAAGTCTCAGATAGTAGAAGAAAGTGTAAAAACAAACTAAATAATAATATAAGATAATAAAAGAGAAAGTTAGAAAAAGAAAGAAAGTTTAATGCTTTGAATGACGAAATCGGATTAAATTTCAAATCAACATATACTTTTCACTGTAATCTGTATTGCTATAAGTTTATTCCTTTATATAATTTTATAATTAGCATAAAACATTCAATTCAAATAAACGACGTTTGTTTTCTGATTTTCATTGTCATTTTTCTATTTGCTGTTTAAATCTGTCGTATTCTCGATTTCTTTCTAGAGCTCGAGTTTCACATTCAAAGTACCGCTTGTGATTTTACGAATTAAACTTCAAAAACTGTAGTATAATCATAAATTTTCAGCTTTCTTTGGAAAAGCAATAGATTTACTATCAGACCATCATACTTTGCTGTCATGAAAAGTACCGAAATTCAATTTAAAGTTAAGAAAAAGGGAAGGCTAACTTTTGATGTCAAAATTAACCAGCTTATATATAAGCATTATTTTGCGACGTAACGCATAAGTAATAAAGGTGATCGATGACAAATATTTAATAAATATAATGACTTGTTGAAGATCGATGTGCTTATGCAGCAGAAAGAAGTCAGAAGTTAGGCTCGAGACTCAACCTCCAGTCTCAATACTACAAAGATCGCCAGTGAGTCATTATCTAAACTAAGCGTAGCATATCAAAAAAAAAAAAATTGAAATCAGCAAAAAATTATACTGGTATCAGAAAATTTCATTAATGAATTGTTCAGATCTTCCAACCAGTCCTAGCCTGGTGATAAAAAAAAAATGGAAAGCAATAGCACGGAAAAGTTAGCAGAAATAATATTTTAATTAAAGAACAAATCAAAGGAAGATTACATATGCTTTAGTGTAATATGAGGCCAAGCGTTCTTTTTTTTAATGAATTGAAGGAAAGAATTAATAGTTTTATTTTAGAATATTGCCGTTATCGGTATGATTTATATTTATCATCGCATCGCAGATAGTTACAACTAATATTTTTAGTTTCAAATCGTTGCATTAATTCTAAAAAATTCTGCACAAATATTTGTTTGTATAAAATAAGCAATATTTGATAGTTAAAAACAAAAAATTCGCCGCAAAACCGAACAATTAGGAACGGAATACAACGAAACAGAATTCCATTATCTAAAGAAGAACTGAAGAGTCAATTTGAAGAAATACAAAAGGTTGTTGTAATTTATTTCTTTTCATTATTACTCTTGAAAAAATAGCAAATCAAAGTTCAATCGAAACTTATAATAGTGAAACACGCAACTTCTGCCAGAATTGTGGTATCTACTGATAGCTAACACTGCACGGGATGTGCTATAATTAATTCACAGTTTACATATTACTACTCATTCTATTTTCTATGCATTAAGGCGCTTGGCGTCGAACCCAACTCAGCGCTTATAGATCGAATTCATTCATTCAAAGAGCCTGCGAAAGACTTGTCTATAAAGAAAGGTATTTTATTAATTGTGATTTTTTCTCACGAAACATTTCAGATATTTCTTGATAAGTTGCTTATCCATCAACAAGTGACGCATTTCTGAAGTTTACTCTATACTTCTAGGTGATCTCATTTTCTCACTGAAAGAATTGAAGAAAGTGCCAAAAGCAAGCGGGAATAATAAGTACGGCAGTAAGCAAAATGTCAGAGTTCAAAAATGTGAATTGGATGCGGACGACGATACACTCTATCCAAAACCCATATCCATATCTAAAAACGAAGCTGATCAGGATGAAGTGGATGACGAAGTGGTAATATATAAATCTAAAACTGATAGTGATGAAAAATGCATTTCTGTTTTCCTATTGATTGTATAAAAAGTTAATGGTTATTGTTATAGCAATTGGAAGAACCAAATTCAGAGAATTATATGTACAATGAACAGGAAATATTATTTGTATGTCACGATATGATCCGGCAATTAAATAAAGTTTCGTCTTCACATATATTTTATAAATTACAACTTTATATTACTTTAAATTATTCTCAAAGAAGTGTCCCAAAGTTGAGTATTGAGAGAGAATTCGCTCAACACTGTATGCAACATCAATTATTATTTCCTGAGATGGCAATGATATGACTAATTTCTAAATGTTCCGTTTGTTATAGTTCCTGTTTCAAGGTGCAGGAGAGAACTTTCGTCTTTTATATGTACTGGCAATAAATTCACTTCCAATACTAGTGAAAACATTACTCATTACAGGAAGATATAAATGAATCTAGCCAGAAGTCATTTATGAAGGTTTTTATTTTGATAATTGATGAACAAAATTTCTAAAAGAAGTTAAAAATTTAAATTGTTTACACAATTTTTATTTTTGTTTGGGGAAATATTCAATTCCAATTTTTTCATTTATTAAATTTATCTCCTGTTTTTCTCAAATTATTAAAGAATCTAAAAATTGTAGTCAACCGAAACACCCGAGTGCGATCCGTATGCTCCTCTCGAAGAACTCGAGAAACGAGAAGGTTTCAACTGTCAAACACTACGCAAAAACACATTCCTTGCCAATGCATTGTCGATGCCAAATGAAAAAGAACGCAAGAAAAGAAACAAGCCGAAATCATCGCACGTTTCATTTTTTCCTCCAAAAGCCACATTTTCACGGATCTTAATCTTACTCTCAAAAAATATTTAATTTTATATCTTCTTTAATTACTTTCTACAAAACTGAAAAGTATGTATAATCGGATAAAGGATATCAAAGCACATATATTTAAAAACATATAAATTTTATGATCAACTTTTTTGTAAACATCTTTTTTTTGCAAACACCAACTTTAGTAAACATCTGGAAAGGAAAACATTCATTGCAGGAACAAGGTGACATTTAATGAAAAAGTATTTGACATAACTGATTGGGAAGAATTTGCATGGTAAATAATTAAGTCGTAACTTCCTTTTTGTATAATGAATACTACTGTTGTTGATGATTTGAAGATTTAACTTTGAAGAGTGCACCATAATAACAGCGAAGTTATATGAATTATATTATATTAATTTTCAAAAAATTATTACAGCACAGCAGAAGAGGGATCAGAGAGAACGCAAACGGATAGTGAATTGGAACTTGTGGAAACACAAGACATCGTTAGTTTGTGTTAGATTTTCATAAGCAATTTATCATGTAGACAAAATCAAAATTAATCAAACTATTAAAAGATGAAATGGGAATGTGATAAATTCAGTAAAGAAAGCAACACTATTTTAATGCTATGCCTTTGTTAATTTCCAAGAAAAATACATTAGGTTATTGATTGATCATTTAGTTAACCCACAATATTTTTTAATAATTGATAATTTCAAGCTACCACTGTCTTCAAATGAAACACTGGAAAGATCGCCGAAAAGAAAAACTTTTCCTAAAATTTTGTGGGAAACAAGTTCAACAATAAAATCGGCAACAATTAATTCAGCGGACTCAGTTGATCAGAGCAGCAAACCAGAAGCGTTTACCAAGACAGAGATATCATCAATATCCAGTCATAAAAAGGAAATATTCAGAAATAATCCGGAACTGAGACTAGAAACAGATTTAAAAAAGAAGGATAAAAATGATAGAAATAGTGTGATGTAAATATGAAGTTAAACGTTGTCAACTAAGTATACTATTTTAATATTAATAAATCTTTAGAAACTATTCAGAAATTATGTTCTTCCAACTTATTTTTCTTTTTTTTTTTTTTCGAATTTATGTAACTTTATGCTAAATCATATAATTTGATTATTTTCGATTCTTGGTAATTTGATTCTGATAATTTAATAAATTGATTATTAACAGCTTCAACGATTGACTCTTTCTCCGATTAACGCGTGAAACAGCAAAGAACGCTTTTATGTTCCTTCTACTTTACATAACCTTTCCAGGTAATCATGAGAATCTATATAAATTATGAGAGTTAAGGAAAGATCCCCTCACTTTTTAACAGATTTTAACAGACATGAAATAAAATATTTCCAACAAAGTCACAAAGCGAAGTCAAAAGCACTACCAATATTCATTGTTTTTTTTTTTTGAGTAAAAAATCTTTGTTTTTGATTTTGACAGCCAAGCGATGATTATTTGTTGTGTAAATAAGAAAGTTATTAAAACTAACAAAACTCTTGGCGGTATCACAATCGTGTAATATCACTATGAGAAGGAGAGCTATGATACCTACTATTACATTTATACGATTCTATCCAGGAGGTCCTAATAGATCTGATCATGAACTCTCGATCTTCCAGATGCAAATTTATAATAATCTACAGCTGAACTACTGCTATCATTTTACAAAAGAAAAATAACATGACATCAACTGTGTTTAGCAATCCGGTTGTGATGCTAAACCTGCATATTTATACAACTGTTAAGTATGAAACTAATTTACCCATATCATAAAATCTGCATATTTATTAGTGACAGCTATTTCGTACAGAACAAGGATGCAAAATATATAAGTGAGTTGAACAAACAGACAAATTTTATTTTCAGTCTTCACTTGTCAATTGTCCATTTGTGTTCTTTTACACCTGGTTCGCTGGCATACATCGGTTAGGTCCGTTTATTCCTCACACTTCTCAGACTGTTCTAGACCAGTCATTAGTAAATAGCCTTGAAAGCACGAAAATGTTTGAGATGTATTGATTGAAACCGTTTGATTTTACAGATCATTCTACTGCCTTTTTTCCAGACATACAATCTACCATTGGTATAAAATTCACTTCATTCAAAGAATATTCATTATGGGCAGGTATCATCATCCACCAGTTTAATTGTGAACAAAAACATTTATCAAAACTGCCTTGAATTAATGAATTGCTTCATTTGCAGACAATTTCATGACAATATTCATCAGTTAAAATTACAGTGACAGTATCTCTATCCTTTCAATCCTTAGTTGGGCCAACTTCCAGCTTTTGTACCAAACTCTTGGTACTGGCAATTATATGGCAACAGTGCATATCAACTTTAAGTGAGAATTTATTGTGCTACTCGGGTATCAACAACAAAGTAACAATGATTCTGTGCGATTCGAATACTGAATTCTGTTACAAACAAGTGATGCCAAACGGTATCACTGTTAGTTTCTGAATAGTTCCACAGAACTTTTGGAATTCTTGTTGAAAATCCCTGACAGCCATTCCATTACGAGCTTACTGGAAGACTACTTATCACCTTTACCGACTGCATTACGGATTCAGCAATTTATTGCTTTATCGAACACTGACTGTTATTATAGATTGGTTGATTTTATAGTTATTCCATTTAGTTTTTTAATTTCTTGATGAATCTGCAGGTAATGGATTGTGACAGAAGTAAAAAATTTGGATTTTGCAAAGATGGGATAGAAGGATGTGAGCAGCGACATATTAAGGGACAGATATGTTGCTGTACGAAATCGAAATGTAATGCATGCGAACAGGTATATATGAAGCATTTTACCTTAACTGCTTTAATTATATTAATTGATACCAATAGATTCTTTTATTCATTGTAACTGCATCAATTATATGAAATAAAACGCGTGGGATTAACATAAGAACGTGGAATTAACGGACATGGCACTTTGAATAAGAATTCAAACGAGTGGACCTGTAAAAGTGACTGAAGTTAAACTTTGAAATAATTTTCTTTTTTTTTAAATCCACAATCTCCACGAATACCTTGCGTGAACGTATCACATAAATGGAGTGAACTGAAAAACAAGCAATGAGTTTTCTCTAAGTAGTCCTCCATCTTAATGCCTTATGAATAGGGTATTCAATAGAATGTAATGCAACACAGGACTCAATTTTTGTTTTGTTGATTATTGCTGCTGCTGCTGCTGCATGCATTTGATTTCTGCATTCTGAAATTGTGATTCCGTTATGCACCATTTCCTGCCCAGTTCCCAGAGAACTACTATTCAAACCTCTTCGCATATTAAGATGTTCAACGTACTAGCCCAATAGTTGGCAGATCGGCACCTTAGCAAAAGCACAACTAATTTATTTGATAATTGATTAAAACTTCGTCAGTTAGCTGAAACTTTCTAAAGGATGAGATGGAATCTATAAAACACTGATAAGTTTTTTAATCCGACTAATCATTTTAGCAGTTATTCCTTCGCCAGTCATATTTTGTTTTAACATTTGTTTCAAAATTGCTGTTTAACAGTGCTCATAGAATCTATCACTTAAACTTCAAAAAAGATTCAAGATTTAACACAGTGTTATGGTGAGAAGTGAAGGGAATTAAAGAAATAGTGGCTATAAAAGTTTAGCCCCTCTAGACTCTTACCACCGCAAAAACGTGGAGACAATTATACTATTGTCATTAGCAAGCCAAATAAGAATGCACCCAGCATAATTGGGATGGCCTATAATTTAAAAAGAAAAAACAACCATGAACGCACTTTATGCGAACATGAACCTATAGCATTTCAAAGTACACTACAAAAAAAACCACTCCATCCACAGTTTTTCTTTAGATTTTTTTAAAAATTCCTCTTGTGTAGCATAAACTAATCAAAACTGCTTTTATCTGCTCAAAAAAAGAACATTTAACACTTATTAGTGGTGAAATAAACAGTGGTAACCAATGATTTTGAAACAAATACGCTCAAAATTTAAGGAACGCATGTGAAATAGATCAAATTGAACAGTAAAAATCAATAACTCCATTACTTCTCAATTCACCACTTCCGATTTTGGGCTTGCAGTTTCCATTGGTGTTGTTTCCAAATCTTCATTCGTTTCAACCTGAAATGAACTACGCTATAAACCTATTCCGGATTGAACTTTCCAGAAACTTCCAAGTTGCAGTTAAACACTACCTTTTCTTTAGCAGCAAATCTTTCGAACATTCCCTTATATCGCTTTTTCTCTTTCTCACGTATCTCTGCCAACTTTTTCTTACATGCCACTATTTGCGCTATCGCTGCCTAAAAATTATGAGTTATGATGATATCACTGAACAAATGATATTTCACAACTAATGAGATCACTGTGCCACCACAGATAGAGAACCTTGTTGTCAGGTTCGTATTCCAGTACTTTTTTGTACTCAATAATTGCTTCATCAGCATCGTTTTGCTCTTGAAGTGCCTGAAATAAAACAATTTAAGCTAATCTATTCTGAGTGCGGTAGATGAAACAAATGTATTCGAGTAATAAAGCTTGGATTTCTGTAGCATCTTATTTAAAAGAATTACCAAAGCCTTTCGATACAATGCTTTCACACATTTTGGGTCAACTTCTAGTGCTTTGTCACAATTCTTTATACATTCCACTGTTTCATCTTGCTTCGCGTATACGAGGGCGCTAAATCAAAGAAAACAAGAGTTAAGTAGAAACTTCAAATCAGAAGATATTGGATACGGGCTTTTTAAAGCTTGGATACCCTCAAAAAACAACTCCACAAAAAAAAAAAAAAAAAAAACACAAGAACCTATTAAGGTAACCAGCAAGCAACAGCGCATCCCGTCTGCTTTTGGCTTCATTTTCTAATGATTTTTCATATTCCAACAACTCAATAACGCGCATATATTTTGCAGCTGCAAGGCGCATCTTGCCTTGTTTGAAAAACATAGTACCCCTTTCTTTCGCAGCTTCTGCAGCATCAAGCTTTTCTTCACCAGTCAATTCCCATGACGCCTTTACCTAAAAACGAGATTTGCATCTTCTAGCATTTATTAAAATTCACACAATTCAATCTGAAAAAGTGTCATATTTAAAAATTTTATCCAGATATAATACCGGAAAACACCTTATCATATTCCTTGAGGAACAAAGTGAAATCAATTTCAGCATGAGGCGGTAAACCATATTCTGGAGGTGGAGTAGCACCAAAAGTGAAACGGCTGCCTTTGAGATGAATTATGGACTTTTCGCCTTTGTTGAATCGGCGGAGAGCGCGGTCAACACCTTCCGGTAGACCCACCTGAAAGTACTTATTTTGAACACATATAACATTGAGCTTACAGGACTTAGTATTTCACTCACAAACCAAAAGCATCAGTATATCGCTCTCGTGGGATGTGATCATTGCATGTTGGCTTAGTGCTTATCCTCGGCCTATTATCATCATTTGCATAAATTAATGAAAAAAATAAGTTAACTGGAAATAAAAAGTTTGTTATTCACTACCTCAGAACCTTCTCCCAAAATGAAGCTGACTTCCTTATCGTAGAACACTTGACCATTGTATGAACCAACGGCACATACTGAAACAAATGCCGACTTCATCCACTGTCGCTGATCCCTCAGCAACTATCCTTCAAACTGTGAATAGGACACAAAGTCCCTTTCGAGGAAAACACGCATTACTTAGAAAGATAATCTGGAAAATATAGGTAAACAAATTTAACCACCAGGAAATAAAAAGAGACAAAACTAACCTTTAACAGTTGAACCCTCAGTAGGACTTGAATATTTCTCACCCTCTACAATGATTGATCGGGTGATTGTACCATCTCGATCTGGCGAAATATCTTCCCCTTGCCAGCTCAGTAATTCAATCTAAAAAAATTCTTTCCTTCCACAATCATATTCACATCATTCATACAGCATTATGAAATGCAAATAAATTAGAAATTCATTACTTCAAATTTAAGT